TTTTTTATTTTTCTTGTTTTTTAAACCAACTGGTTCTTTTAAAAACAATTTAATAATAGTACCTATGGATTTGGGAATATTTTCTAAAAAATAACGTCTTTTAAAAGTTTAAAAGACGCCTAAATTATGGTTTTATTTAGGTTATTTGAGATTGTTTTTTAAACGTTTTTTTTAGAACGTTTTTTAAACGACTTTTTCAGAACGTTTTTTAAACGCTTTTTTGAAAACGTTTTTTAGGTATTGCCATTCAGAACGTTTAAAAAACGTTTTTTTTCTTAGTTAAAAAAACGTTTTAAAAACGTTCATGTGCTTACTGGGTACCATATTGAAAATTAAATACATAATAGTACTAAAAAGAACACCCATGAACTCTATAACCCTATAAAAGTAGTAGTACACAAAAATCTTAGGCAATTCTCGAAATTGAAAAAGTTTTTTGCTTGTAGCACATACTAAACAAACAAACAAACAAAAAAATACAATTAAAATCTTCTCTTTAATTTGGCGCCCCTTGGATATCTGCCGCCTCTAAAAATAGTTGGGATATATTTTCAGGGTCTCTCGGCGGCCCTGACAATATGCCCTATCTATTTTTATATTTTTTGAAAGTTTTTTTTTTTTTTTTCTAAAACTGTTTTGACAAAAAAAAACTCCGTACTTATTACATAACACACTATTTTATGTCATAAACACCTGGTCACCAGGCTGGTGTTATAAGATGTATTTTTCTCAAAAACACTTTAGTTATGCAGAGTTTATTACTAATTTAATTATACAGGAAACATTTATGATAAAATTTTAATATAAAATTTCCGTATAAAAAATAAATTTACAATACTTTTTTAACGGAACTTTATTTTTTTTTTAATATAATCATTTTGTCGTCGTCATATTTTTATTTCCAATATATTTTGAAAAAGTATTATTCATAAATCGTAACAACAATCTAAAATTTAAGCAAATGATGTAATGTTAATTTCCTCATATATCAAAAAATACAAGGACCTTTTTAAATACCTATCATAAAGCTTTATGCTCGGTTGCCTGAAAGGTTACGTAAAAGTTACCTGACTTGATGTTTTTTATGTTAACGATTTTGTTTTAAAAGTATTTACGAAACTAAAACAAATACTTTCATGAAGTAAAAATTACATATTAAAAACTTGGTTAATTCAAAAATCTTCTTATATATTAGGGGAAAGCGGGGCAACATAGCGAACGTTTTGAAAGCCCTGAGTTATTGAAAAACTATAAGTCGTGAAGCCATAATACTTTCTCAGTATGTTTATGCTATTAAGCTCTTTCATTGCCTGCATGAATTTTCAGTTTGCAAATATAACAATTTGAAATAAATATTAAAATAAAAAGTTCATAAATTTGTTATCTGGTCACGTGACCGGGGCAAGATGACTTATTATGCAATTTTTACCTCCAATTTTATAAAATTTAAAAAACTGCCAATAACTCTAATTAAAGTACCAAAAAATAAACACAAATTGCAAAAACTACTTCTAAAGAAGTTAAACTTGAAGGACACTAACCATTATGAGAAACCGAAAGTGAGGAATTTTATTTTAAGCGCAAAAAGTAAACTTATTTGTATAAAATGGTGTTAATAATATTTCAAAAAACCAATTGGTGTTTTAAACTACAAGATGCAAATACAGTTTCGTTTTCATCCAATTTTAAAATTTTTTGTTGAGTTGTTATATGAAAACCCATCTTGCCCCATTCGCCATGTTGCCCCGCTTTCCCCTATCTTATTTAAAATTGTTTTGTTTATTGACCATCAATCAAAACCACGTAAAAACAGATTTAAACTAAAAAACTGTTGTTGTTGTCTTTAAAATTGTAGTTTGAGTTTTGAATACATTAATTTTTAAATGTTGGTTGTTGATTTAATAATAAATTTTTATTAACGTTTGATTTTTAATGATTTTATCTTTTTTTTAGTCTATATTTAAAATTTACCTTATTTTATTAATAAATTTATTTTGCTTTTTTAGACCCGAATTTTTTTCGAAAGTATCCTTTTAAGATTACTTCTTTTAGTTTAATCGAGGTAAAACTACAAACAAGTAAATTGACTTGCAGATGTATATAACTTTATTAAAGATACTCTTTTGTCTAAAAAGAACCAGCTGTCTCTAGAACTTTTATATAATGTAAACATATCTAAAGCAGAAAACAAAACAAAATTTTAAGCGTCCAAAAAAAATGGATTATCAAAGTCACTTTTTAGGAAACCATAACAAACATTTAAGAAAAGTTTATTTCTATTAGTTTTCGTAACACTTAAAAACGAATATTTTTTATTAACTCATTTTATAGAACTATTTTGAACATTTTTTATACCGTTTGCAGCTTTTGTTGTTTTTTAAATAAAACTGTCATTTCGATTTTAAATATTAGCTTTTGATTGGATGATTATTATTTTTATGTAAGGATTTTACGAAAAAGCTTTTTATTAGTATTTGTTTAGAACAATAAACCAATCAAAATCTCTTTTCGTATAGCGATAAAGTATTGTGAAACTACGAATTGTAAAAAAAAAAAAGAAAAAAAAAAAAAGCCAAACAATATAAAAAAAGAAAAATAATAAAAACTGTCTGAACAAAATATTAGTGAAAAGTTCAATATACAGGCACTATGTATTACCTCGTTGTTTTTTATTTATTTGTTTTTAACTGTTTAAAGAACTTAATTTCCGAAATTATTTCAATAAACTTTTTATGTTTTATAAATTAATCAAAGGTTATTTTTAAAAAGTTTTATTTGCGATAAGTTGATAAGTTTGATTTGTAATAAGTTGATAAGTTTGATTTAGACCTTTTTAAAAATAAATTTAAAATGTTACAAACATGACACCAACGCCCGTTGAAAATGGGTGCAAAGTACAAAATTATGAAAGGCGACGATGACGAAAGAGAAGATGGAGAACAATTGTTGAAGTTAGTAATATTTTTTACTATAAACAAAAAAATTCTTTAGATTATATATCATAAACACATGAGTTGTTTATACTGCAAACTTGGCTTTTTTTTTGTTGGGTTTTGATTTTTTTTATTAATAAAAAAAAATAAGTGATTTTCCATTGTTTAAAACTTATAGATGTGATGCTAAATGATCTCGATTTCGCTTTTTTTTCAGTTTTTAAATATTTAAATCTGAGGTTCATAAACGTAGGTTGTTTAGTACAATTAAAAAATATTTAGAGGTCATAAAAAATAATTAGTTACGTAAATATATATTTTTTTGTGTGGTTATGATGCTCCGATGAATTTATTTGAAATTTTTTTTGTGTGGTTAAGATGCTTCGATAAATTTATTTGAAAGTTACACTGTCGGTTTCATTTTATATTACAAAACTTTCAATATTTTGTAATTCGTTGCATAAAGCGTAATTTTACGTTCTGGTAAAAAAGTAGATTATGAGAATAATCGAGATGCCTTGAACGTAATAATTATAAACACGTACGTCTTTTCGTTCCTCGATTCGCTGTTCAAATTCAAGTGGAATTTTGAGTAATTTTTTAAAGTAAAAAAAACAACAACATGAAAACCATTTAAGTGAAAAGAACGAGTAAAAATGTTTTACTGTTCCGTTTTAATCCATAATTTATTATTTACTTTTTTAAATTTTTTTTATATTATATAATTTTATTAAAATTATATACTACGCATTTTTTTAAATTTTACAAAATCAGTAAACAAAAAAGGCTCAGGTTAAAAAATATTATAGAACAAAAAAAAAAAAAAAAAAAAAACTAAAAAAAATCCTTAATGTGGATATACCTGGTACTCGACTGACGTTGTGTTGACAACACGAATCATCGTCGTCAAAAATGGAATAATTTAAGAGCATTGTTGAATAAAAATTATATTATAATATCATGTTATTTTAAGAATAAATAGTTAATCAGGCTAAGTATATAATGTACTATTGTTAATTTAGATTGATGTATTGTGTATATGATTGAAGATAAACCGATATTGCACTTTAAGTTGTGTGTACTTTTTTTTTTTAATACTCATACCATTTTTTTATTTTAATTGTTAAAAAAAAGACCGTCATGACGGTCTTTTTTTAAAAAAAATTATTAAAATAAAAAAATGATGATGTGTCATCATTTAACATAAAAAAATTGCTCTTAGTATATTCAATCTCTTAAATAAAATTGTCTTTAATATTCTTTTTGCAACATAACAGTATTTTTGATGAAAATATATTCTCATGCCATAACATTAAAATACCAAGGGAATTATTTTTTATCATTTCAATACTTTTTTTTATTATCATTATTATTTCCTGTTAATAATTAGCTTAAAATTTTTTTTTTTTCTTACTTTTGTTTCTGTGAGTTTCAAATTTTTGCATTAACAAGATAGCTTAATATGATGCTTAAGTTTTACTTAAACATTCACAAGTCACGTTGTGATGATGACATTACTTGTAATGTTCTATGACCTATATTATAAATAGTTTTAGAAAACCTTTATTTTGTTCAATAGCATCTTCTTTTGAGAATAATATCTTTTCTGATAAAATAAAATCAGCTAAAAAATTCACACAATTTTAAAATAAATTCCTGATTCCTTTACTGACTCTAACAATCGTCTAAATTCTCTTATCTATTTATTTTCTATTATATGTAAAAATATTATACATACATACATACATATATATATATATATATATATATATATATATATATATATATATATATATATATATATATATATATATATATATATATATATATATATATATATATATATATATATATATATATATATATATATATATATATATATATATATATATATTATATTTATAAAACATATGAAAAGGTAATTTGCAATAGAATTTTTAATTACTCTACGCTTAATACAATGCGAGAATCAATTTCATTTGCAAAATTAATGTTTTACTGGACAAATCATATTATTATTTTTATAGCTGTTACTCAACTTTTAAATAATCATCCACTTCATTTGAT